TTTCATTTGCAGATGGTTAATAACGATTAGAAACAGGAGTGGACATAAGGTCGTTACTTGTGAAACTCCTGATGCTGAGACTTACCTCGGTACGGAACATACTATTCTCTAGGTACTTTCGGAGCCAGGACAGAAATGAGTAAGTGAGACTCATCTTTACAATCATTTATATAAAAAGCAGACGAGGTACTGCATCAAACACTTTTGTGAAATCGATGAAAATTACGTAAATCGGTACCTTATGGTCCGATTAGGTCGTCTAGCTTACCTATGCTGTAAGGAGGTTAGATGCATATCACCTGTTTTTTAACCTGTGTTGATCTTCGTGTAGGGTGTTGTTTCTATTCATGTATTTGCTCATTTCTTCATTCGTCTGTAGTTCCATTACCACCCAATGTATTGGGAGTAACACGACTGATCAATAACAGGCTGGATTTTCTCTATCTCCCATCTCGAAGATTGAAGTGACAGCGGCCTGCTGCCGTTCTCTGGGGACTTGTTGCAAATCTAGTGAGCTCTTGAACAGGTCAGACACCGGTATGCTGGTGGTTTCTGTCCATTGTTTCGGGATTGTAGGTCGCATGTTGTCACATCCTGGTGACTTTCCTAAAGGAAAGCTTGCCAGTTAGTTCGGTATCTCCCAGACCCACTAGAGTTGAGGGGCTTTCTGTAGTATCAGGCTCCTGTCTAAGTTGGTCTACAAAAGTGACATTAAAGATCTCTGCCACCTCTAAGTTGGTGAGATATTTGCCACTGGGCCACTTAAGATATCAAATTCCTAGGTTTGTGGGATTTCTCCTGACCATGAATCTACATCGATGTTCTGCGTTAGCTTGCATTTTGGCTGCTAGCTTGACTTTGCACTTTACTATTGCATCCGTCTCGCAACACCGAGTAAGTGCGACAATAAGATTGTCAAGGAGACCTTCCACTTGTTCTAGGACCTCTGTTTGAACCGTAACAAGCGTTCCAATCCTCACTTAACCCAGAATCTTCGCTTCCCGAATATGTGCTTACCCCAAGATACATCATGTTGAATAGTATTTTCAATGACATTCCCCAATAACTCCGAGCGGTACCTCATGGTTAGCCTCCAACATTCTCGTAGCCATGGGACATTTTGAGGATACTCACTCATAGCTCAGTAGTCTGCTCTGGTTTCTCCAAGATAAGAAGCATTTTCATCCTGCCAATTTATTTTGTTTGTGATCACGTCGAACATGAATGTAGCCTGGCCACTACTTCATATTAAAAAGTGGTTATTGACATTCTCAACTAGAAGCTGATCATTTGCCGGCAAGCTTTGAAGTCTCTAGCTAATGGTATTTAGTCAAAACGCAGGTACTGTGACTTTGGTATATTATCTCTTATCCCACCCTTTTATGTTTTAGAAACTTTACAGGGTTGGTATATTCCTCCATTCAAGAACTTCGTAGCGTTCACACTTTAGCAACGCCACGATGGGTCTGTCAACTCGGCCGACTGAGTACTATGTGGTGTTACAGCATTGAAGTGGCAGTTAATGCCACCCCAGCTTTTATTTTGTGCACCCTGGAGTATCGAAAAAGTGCCATGTCCAAAAGCATACTTCATCTATGATGTTTAGCGATAAGCATGTTTCCGCCAGGACTGTGACCCTCAAATATAACTGAAAACACATGCTTCTTACTTCTCCTAGTTTACCTCTTGATCCATTAGTCTGTTTTCTCAGCATTTTGGGAAGACGTGCTGCGACATAACACAATTCCGTTGTATGGTTTACGTACTATAAATCACAAAGACATTGAACCCAGACGTTATGGCAATCACATGCAAATATCGAGTCACTGGTTTTAACGAGAAACGATCATGCGGTACAGATATCGTTATTGTGCTTTTAGTCTTACTAGGAGTAGAAAGCTGCGTAAGAGTGTGACCCGGATTACTTTGTAGAAAATCCAATTTCAAGTTCTGAGTTGAGTTATCCACTTTGTCTACGTTACTAGGATCTTCGTTTTCTGGTGTCGTACTGAGCTTTCATGTGATCCTATTGCTTGAAACGGAGATTTTTGGTTTATTCATGATCTCTGAAAAAGGACCTCTACATCTTCTAGCCGTTGTCGTACTCATAGCATAAGTATTGGCGACAGGGCTATCACTGTTCATGCTATTTAACAGATCAAAAGAGTAAAATGTAAAGCCATTTAAGGAGGAAGCACGCAAAACAAAATTCCGAATGAGAAAAACAATGGAGATAAGTGAATATATGCTACACAAAACTAGGAACTAAGAGGCTTTAAGTCGCAACGTTACCTTAGGTTATCCAAACCAGTAAATTCACTTCGTTCCAGTAACTTATCCACATGACTTGTATTTGCAACGACATGAACGTACATTGAAGTAGAAGCAACTACGAAGAAAACTTAGTAAACGATGGCCAAGATAAATGCTCTTGAAAGTATTTAAGGTCTATCGACCATCAACTATTTCACGAAACAACTAGGTGTATTGCAGCAAAACAGGTAAGCATCTCTTATTAGATTAACGTAACAACCTGATGCAGTTCGGTCGCGTTACGTTGAAAAGCAACAGCAGTTAACTGGTTTGTCAAGGCAAGATGTTGAACACCGAGTACATGAGTTCCGTTTTCTCACACAGATGTGATTTACATTCCATGGAAGAACGTTTCCTGAAAAAATGATGTCTTGGTTGAATAACTTTCTATAGAAGTTGTTACAAGCGAATCAAATTACTGTATTTGTTATCAATAAATGAAGATTTGATTTTGAGCGAAAAAGGCTGAATTATTCCTCACGTATGAGTTTTCCGTTGCTATGTAAAAATAAGGGCCGATTATTTTTCTCCCATCTTGATTAAAATAATTACGTTATTTAAAATGCTCTATACGATTTATCAACTCAGCTGTAAATTGTTTATGTTTGTGTTTCGTATTACCTATCTTCAGCCGAGCTACATGAAATATTCGGGACTACTGTCGTGTTAAATGTCCTGACGGCCGAATAAGGTAATCAACAGATAAATCGTGTGTCACTTAAAGGCAGCTCAAGCGATTTGATACCCTTTTTCATACAACTAGCATTTTCAACAAAATAATACATCAATGAAGCCATTCTAACTTCATAGCCCAGGTATATTCACTAATATATGAACTGCTAATTCATAGTTTAAAATAATCGAGAAAATAATAAGAATTGTAAAACTTTATTTAAAATTAAATTATACAGTATGCCCAAATGTTTCTCTTTCTTCCATTAGACATTTGAACATCAGTTCATACTTCTTTTGCCCAGAGGGTGTTAGGACTTTGAAGGAAAATGTTGTTATCTACTGGACATTATCTGGTACGGATTCTCGGCCAATCGTCTACAAAGAAAGGGTTTGTAAAGTAGAATTTAAAAAGTTAGCGTTACTCTCAGAGGCTTACACCATTTCTTTTTACCACAACACTTGTTTCCCAATATACCGGTAACGTGACTCATGAATAAGGCATTTTCAAAATATGGACTGGTGAGTTTCTTTCAGGTAACAATTTCTGATAGATTCATATCTTGAGGTAAAATCTCAAGAACTTTCAGACCGAATTATGAATTCTAACATCTTGTTTTCAACCATATTTATCTGAAAGTATTTCATCTCTCATCGTCATTCGTATAATTATTCAAATTAATTTCTCATCATTTATCCCGTCATCTTCCTTGCTGCTCAACGTTTAACCAGAAATATGGGTGACTTTTGCTGAATACTACATAGCTAAGACAAGCTATAGCTAACCATCATCGTGTTCCGGATACCGTGCTAAAATTCAATAGTAGCTGAATTTAATCTGACTGTTTGGAACAAAGTAGTCAATGTAATCTATTTCTACCATCACATAACAAAATAAGTGTATTTCTTATAACGTAGTTACAAGTGCAATCGCATTTACTAACATTGGAATTCAAAAAAATACGCGAGATATACTTTAACCGGTTATACTATGTGGCTCTAGTTTCGACTACTAGATTGTATCGACCTGAGGGATGCGTTATTGTTGTTTATTGTCGTATACTTCCCTTATAAAAAATATAAGTGAGTTGTGTACACTCTTTGGATCATTTATTTACCACTTCTCTAGTTCGTCTCCTTCCCGACCCTACTTATGCTAAAACGCATACTTTCCTAGTACACCAAAGCATTTTTGGTTAGAATCAAACCTTCACAATATATTCTGAATTAAAAATGTCCTATCTGAACATTATTATTACTATTCCTTGGGTAGCCGTCCAGGAACTTCACACCAAACAGTTAACAGACAAGTGAAGTCACGCCTTTTATTATCACTAATCAGGCATACATTTTACTCAATTGCAGAATGTGTAGACTTATCTCTTTTGGTGAGGAGCTTTTGGAGGAGTATAGGATTTCATGTGCACACCTGTTGCTCAAAGTCTTCCTTAGGAAAATAAGTAAAATATGTTCATTCATAGCAAAAGACGCATGGCATTAAATAAGCATCAGAAGAACAGTTCTGTATATTCTCGACGTTGACACTGACCTCATCAGCTGTATAAAACAAACCTCAAGCATCTACAGCAGATCCCAACCGAATGCACTGTGGCAAACCTGATCAGGTAAGATCACTTTATTCTCAGCAAATTAACCATCTTCCGAACTTATCTTCGAAACTCTTCATTACCGACTCCTGGTTTGACCAGCTATTTGCACTTTCAGTTTAAAGGTGTTACACCTAAATTTGCCACAATGATTCGCGCCTGACAACACCATCACATGCAACATCTTTGTAATCGAAATATGCCGACCCAGTCAAATCACAAATCAGAAAATGAAGAGGTCCGACGACATATTTGGAAGGACATTACATGAATTTTGACCTCACATACTTCCTTTCGATTCTGATGGAAGATATGAAAGATCTTAAGCTGTACTCCAAAACGGATGACTTGATTCAGAAAACAGAATGGTCTACACTCGCTGGTCACAAATAGCTAAATATTGGAAATTGAGACTTTTTGCGGCTCACAGTTCATTTTTACCGCTACTGTGTCTAAAGCTTCTCATCCAGGTTAGCAATGATAGGTTACTTAACGAATTAATAACTCTAAGAAATTTTGTAATCCATAATGTTCTTACGTTATTAGTCAATGCCAAACTGTTGCACATATGCTGGAGATGGTGATGTAGATTTGTACTGTGAATATGACATTATAATGCCTCTATAGAGGCTTTTGTTATCTATTTTAAGGATTTTAAACCTATCTGAGGGATAAGGATTGTAATTTACATTTGATTTTTACGGTTGGAAGTTAGATTTTGGGTTTTAATCACTAACTAACACCAGCTAAAGTGCCAGGACGTTATATTAGCCACATGAATAAAGAATTCCGCACCGAAATCCAAGACCTGTTATCGTAAATCTGATTAGTTCGTCCATAAATTGTGCTCTCGACGTTTTCTCAGATATTTATGTGAATGTGGCATTTTAAGCCATTCATTGTGATTTCTACAAAGCATCTAATATTGCAAGAGTATTAGACCTATGTACTCTCCCCAAATGCGTGTATGTAATGCGTACATATTTCTCTTATTTTATCCCTCTAAGGCTGCATGAAGCGTGGGGAATGTGTTACTGCTTTACTTTCTTAATGTCCATCTTAATCACCATGCTGTTCAAAACCGAATTGTAGAACCCTATGATGATCCCCAACAAAAAACCCACTAGCTTCGATAGTTAAGGTTAAAATCCTGTGGTGCATTCTTGTTGTTTCTGGATTTTCAGATTGTGAAAGTAAATATGCTCGTGGAGTTCTTTCTTATCAAATGTATCAGGATTACCAGCAAATTTTCAGTTTTTTATGTCTAGTCTCAGTAAGCCTTAAACTTCGTATGTGTTTTGAACGATCCAACGTATGAACATTTGTTACTTAGTTATATATCTTTTGAAGGCTTCTCTACGTCACTCTAATCAATGCTCTCTAGTTTTCTAGTCTTCTGAAGAGTTTTTTAAGTTGATCACCGTCATGTCAACATTAGTACGCAAAAACTAAACCAGATGCTACATCTAATTCTAGAAAGTGACATTGTAAAACCATTTATCAATTGAGATTTTCACCTTCGACATATTTCAAGTATCGTGGTAAGCTTATAATAGCTTATCGCTTTACGAAAGTTTAGTTTGTTCTCGAAGTATCATTTCAAAATGTGTTCGTTATCATTACTGAGAGGGTAGTGTAAACCTCCAAATGCAACAACTGATTGAGAAAAACTCCATATCATTCATGATAAGCTAAAACCTTCAAATTTTTAAATTGAAGTAAAACATTTAAGTTTAGAGTCACTGGTTTCTAATATAAACTCTGTGGTAGACTTTCGTATTGGATTCATCAGTTAATATATTTTAGTGGCATGAAAATCCTATCTTTTGTAATCATAGTGATGTTGTAGTGTCTAGCACTCTGTCGATCCCACATGGGTTATTCTAGCTTCCGGACAGACTAATTTATCCATTCTTCTACAGTCACATTTTGACCTTGTTAATTATTCGCTTACCAACCGTATCTGTTCTTATGTGAGCGTTTGTGTGCGTAATGCTTATCCTACTTATCACATATCTGTAAATTATTTCTGATTTGGCTATAAATATTGAGTTACTCTTAGTCAAATGGAGTCGGCTCACATGACTTCTCTTATCCATTTCGCTCCGCTCTGTCCTCTTCCTTCGTGTTTTCCTGACCTTCTGTTCGGGTAAACGATTACATGAAATATACGTATTCAAAATTCATCGTCGTGTTTGACTTATTTTAATCTCATTATTCACTAACGCCAGTTAAGTCAATGATTATATACGAGAGTAGCCAAGATGTATGTTTCTATAGCAATCAGCGAACGATCCAACTGGAGTCAAATACTGGGTCACATTAAAATTTTAGTGACATATTTTTCCTCCAATTCTTGAAAAATTTGCTTTCATTCACTTAATTCAAGTTCCTTTTAGTGTGTTACTCAACTTGATAAAGCCTTTCTATTAAACGTCTGCGATTTAATAAAACGTCAGATTTAGAGTCTTCTGGTATGCTAATCTAAGACAACTATTTCAAGTTCTCGACATTAGCTGTCTAAAAGTGCGGATTTCAATACATCTAGTAATTGATATAGAATAAAACCAGTATTCAAATTGATTTTGCACTCAATACTAACAATAAACATCACAATGCGTGTAACAATTCGCAGGTTTTTACAACTGTGTCCCAACTATTTTACCATTACTTGGAATCTTTGTACCATTTAGTAATTCAGTAGATTGTTTTATAAGTTTTAATCACTAAAAAACTGCTTATCTTCATTAATAGCTTGGTTCTGCAAAATGGAGGTTAGTTTTTATGAAAAAAAGACAATAAGTTGAAAATTTAGGTGGTTCAGCGCCACTCTGTACACACACTTGTTTTCCGCTCTCTCAAAAGAACACATGATATGTTTGAAGCTGATCAAAGTCGTCTTCCGGAAGTTGATGAGAAAAGGTAAATAACTAATATTGTTTACTATTCTGCTTAGTAATTCATTAAAAGTCGCCATCAAAGCAAAAGATCAGTATGGACCTGTACTTAAGGAGCCTGGTCACAATCCACTAAGGCCTAAAGAAAGTAAGTGAATTTCTGTCTTGTCTATTTTAGATGTCTCGGACACGTCACAACCGGGGGCCATTGTCGCATCTGAAAAGGTCAAACCAAAGTTAGTCAAAAATTTATGCGATAAATATTTTTGAAGGTCTGCACTTGAACAAAACGCTTCTATAGTTCAAATAGGTAATGAAAAATTACTACTTCCAAAGAAAGCTCCGACTATGCCCAAGCCCACATGGCATCCACCATGGAAACTATGTCGAGTAATTTAGTACTACTTACTATATCCAAAAACGTTTAGGTTGTTAGCGGTCACACAGGATGGGTGCGCTGTGTGGCTTTTGATCCTACTAATGATTTCTTTGTTACTGGCGCGGCAGATCGGATGATCAAGGTATAAAGTTCATCTAGTTCGCTTTTATTTATTTATCTAGGTTTGGGACTTTGCTAGTGGAACATTAAAACTGACACTGACAGGTCACATAAGTACTGTTAGAGGTGTCGTTGTCAGTGCTCGTCATCCTTACTTATTTTCATGTGGAGAAGATAAAACAGTTCGTTGTTGGGATTTGGAGCAAAATAAGGTACCCATGAGTTTTTTAATATATACTTACATATAAAGGTTATTCGTCATTACCATGGTCATATGTCTGCTGTTTACGATATTGATATCCATCCAACAATCGATGTAGTCCTTACTTGTGGTCGGGATGCAACTGCACGAGTATGGGACATGCGAACCAAAGTAAGTTGATAAATTGTAAGGAGTTTGATCTTTCCTTCAAATTAACATTGTTGTTTGTTGTCTGAATACAGATTTAACTTTAGGATCAATTTTTATATGATAATTCTCTCTTTTTGTTCTAGCAACATTTTACTAGCCACCAATGTGTCAGGGCAAGTAGGACTCCTAAAATAAGCGAAGTAATCAACATAATAATTGCGTCATTCTTTATGATCAAATGAATCATTGATAATGATTAAGCAATTGATCTTCTGAATAAAGTATCAATAAAACTAACTCCATGACGGTTTTTAAAAGATGTCTCTTATAAACTTTAAGGACCAAATTCCTCTGGCTAAACCTGTTTAATTCTCAAAGTCCAACGAATACCGTAGTCGTTTTAATTAATGTCGTAATTAACCCCCTTGAAAATATGCAGAGCTAACCTATATAGGCTTACTTCTTTTTCCCACCAAGTACTTTTTAGCCTCTTCAGATGGGTGGAAGCTGGGATCAGTCAACCTTTCGAAAATTACAGCAGATCATCCGCACCGTAAAATAGCTGAAGAATGGTTTATTCCTTAAATTTCGTCACTTTCTGTTTTAATCATCTAGTGTGACAGTAAATTATTCGTTTTTTGTAGCAGATTTGCCAATAATTCGCTTGATTATTCGTAAACATTTTCCGGATGCAGGGTATTAGGGAATGATGGTAAATTAGTTAATGAGGTTGTCAATCTTTATCGACTGAGATGGTTGGGCCACATGTTACGTATGCCTCAACACCGATTACCACGACGCGCAATGTTGACTAGTGTTGGTAATGGTTGGAAGGTTAGGGACGGCCAAACCAAAACGTGGCATCAGTGCTTGAAGTAATTAACTTCTAGCCTTAGCCATGTCGGTAGAGTCAGACAACTTGGTTGGGGTCCGCGTGACAATCGTAACCAATCGTTGGAGACTGAGTGGCACGGCTCAGAATCGATCACAATGGTGTAGGTGTATACACTCCTTGTCTTCCCTTAAACTATGAGATTCAAATTATTTCATATCTTTCTTTCTACGAACTAATTCTTTTTTTTCTGTACTATATCCTTACATGAAATCATTCCTTTATATTTTACACCATTGAGTTAACTGCTATATGGATCCGGAGTTCGTCTTGCTGTGCTAATGAGGTGTGGCAACTTGGACCGATGCATGTATGTGCCTGGTCCTACTTTGTAACTGACTGACTGACTGACTGAAAAACTTTCCACTGCTCTTTATCACCATTGTTTTACTCATTTTCGTATAGTCTAGTTGACTGGCATCCACGGACACTTTTTCCACTGTGGTTGCAAGTTCCTTTTGTATATTTAAATCCACAAGGGTGAGTTTCAAAGCACACATTAATAGAGCAAAATCTCTAGGTATACTTTTGCAGTCCCTAACGTTTTGTTTCGTGTGGTCATCAGACTCTACCTTAGTCTTTACGAAAACCTGTAAATCGTACCTGGCAATCTTTGGACGAAAATCTTCGCGTCTCACCAAATGCTTAGATAAGTTCTTGTGTGCATTCTTATCTCTGAGCTGAAAAAACTATTGCATTAGTCCGTGTTTACACAAACACGTAATTGACTTCAAGAAAATTAGGAGTCCGGACATATGCTGTGAAAGTAATGAGTCATCAGTTTTTCCCAATACCAGTTATTCGGCACAAACAGAGACTCCAAAAATATAACATCTTTTATTCCTCTTTCCTAGTTCATGTCATTCTGATTAATTCTGCAGAGCACAAACAAATGTGTACTGTTCTATTCTTGGAATGTAATGCTCTACCTACAAGTACAATATCACCAGACATTACTATCGAGGACCTAGGTAATGTAAGAGGGAACTGTGCTGGTTCTTACATTGGCTGAATGTAGTCACATGAATAATCAGACTTGGGTCCTATGTCGGCTCATCTTAAAGACAAGACATACACAAGATTTTATAGTTTAGAGGCATTTCTGGTACATCCGCTAAAACACTTGAAGTTTAACAAGTAGTTTGGAGTGTAATTTTGAAAGCACTTAGTGACTGCGGTCCCATGGTCAAAGAGGAAGTTTGGTAACTGTAGTACAAGGTAATCTAAGGAATAGAAGGGTTTGTTAGTGAACGTCAGTTGTTGGTGGTAAGCACTAATTCCTCTAACATGCGGTAGAAAAAAACTCGATGGTGTGTACATTGAAAAATGATTGCGGAGTTCAAGAAACATTTGGTGAAGTTGATCACACACAGCCTTTTTGTAACTTCCAAGGTCACATAGTATTAGCTCTGTCTTTTATAATTTCATTGCTAGAACACAAAGTCTTTGTAAAAGGACAATGTTCTGTCGAAAAACCACCCCTAGTTTGTACGCACTAGGTAATTATATTATTTTTGGGAAACTTCACTCTATAGTTTTCGTTTTGGTAATGCATACGTCTGTAATCCTTTTCTTTACGCAACGGGTTATAAATGCTGTGGGAAGTCGCTACAATTAGTTTTGTAACGGAAGTTAACCAGCTGAAAAGATATTCTTCTTATCAATCGACTTGGGATTATATCTTACTACTAATGGATTTTAAATAGTTTCACACTTGAAAAATAATTTCCTTTGTGTGATAAGTCGTTAACCGTTAACTTCTATTTCAGGTCAATGTTCATACTCTAACAGGACATTCGAACACAGTAGCGACAGTACGTTGTCAAGAATCTGATCCTCAAGTGATTACTGGATCACATGATGCAACTGTCCGCCTTTGGGACTTGGCAGCAGGACGTACCATAGCCTGTTTGACAAATCACAAGAAATCTGTCCGAGCTGTATGTATCCATCCAACTCAGTAAGTTTCCTAGAAGTTTGACTTTTAATTATCTATTCATTTAAACGCAAATTTAGTGTGGTCACTGATATAACATGAGACTAAAGACAGGGTCGAATTAAAATTGTTTACTATAGTTTTCTTCCTCGTTCTCATATATTACAACGTATGGGAATTACTCGTTTTTGAAACTGCTAAGATTATTTCATTTTTGTAATCCTGTTGGCTCCCCATGCTAGTGTTCTACATTTTGGCTATGCTTCATGGCTATTTAACCATGATTCATGACTCGTATTTTGTTTTGCTTGAGATGTCACTAGTATGTTCTTGCATCGCACCAATTAACTCGAGTTATCCACTGAGTTTTATTTATTATTTACTTTAACACATATATATTGGTACAAGTAGGCACCAAATACATATGCGCCACACCGATCTCATTTGATGTGTGAGGGCTGCAATACTGCCCGGGTGCCCAAACCGAAGTAGGTGATTTTCTTAGGGGGCCACACCCGGAGCGTTCGACCTGAAGGTCTGATCCACAAGGCAGTGGAGCAACGTAAGGAGATGCATTCCCATGGTAGCCGGTAACCAACGATTGATTCATACGCCGTTTATTCCTTTAGGATACTGGAGCCCATGTGCACCATTGTTTTGAAATCAGGGTTTTCCAACTCCCCTAGGTGGTCTCTCCATGTCCACCAACCCGGTTGAAGCGCCGAACGTTCGCTCTTCATCCTCTCAATTTTGTAAACAACACCCCTGCCACAAGAAGGCAGTGAGTAGGAGTTCCCTGGGAGACTATATACGCGTGGCCATGTGAGAGCATTTGGAGGGAGAGCGGGATCTCCCCACTCTCGGTCGTACCAGGGCATTTGGGGGCTGAGTTACAATACGTAACTTTACAACAACTAGAACATCCGTATCTTTTTGCCGCGTTCGTAAATTAGTAATCTTCCAGATAGAAAATAGTTTTTCTGATGATGATTATAGGTCAATTATTTCATCACCTAAGTTTTATTTGATGTTTGAATGCCTTCATATCTTTCAGGAATGCATTTGTTTCTGGATCACCGGATAATATAAAACAATGGAAACTCCCCAATGGTGTCTTTCTTCAGAATCTATCTGGACATAATGCTATCATTAATGCCGTCACTGTTAACCAAGATAATGTGGTCGTCAGTGGAGGTATTTACTAGTTTACATATGCATGTCCTTATTCCAGTAATTTATTAAAATTAAGGATTATAATGTACGTATTGATCATTTAAATAATTCGTACGGTCTATTTCAAATATTTGTCTGTCGAGAGATTGATCTCTGCCATTGGTTTTTCTGCTTATTTTAGGCGATAATGGCAGTGTTCACTTTTGGGATTGGAAATCTGGGTATAACTTTCAGCGTCTTCAAGCTCAAGTTCAGCCTGGCAGTATTGATTCTGAAGCTGGGATATTTGCTTTAGCATTTGATCGTAGTGGATCTCGCTTGGTGTCCTGTGAAGCAGACAAATCAATAAAGATCTTCAAAGAAGATGAATCAGCGGTAATTGGGCTTTTTATTGTTATCTGAACTACATACCTCATAATAACCTAACCTACATACTACTGGACTGAAGTTATACTGAATTTGAGAGACTAGAATGAAAGAAGTGTATACAGACGCGGAGACAGTAGTTAGTCATTAATATATATACACAAAAGTTGCAGATAAAATTTACACTCCACTTCAAGTTGTCTGTAACTGTTTTCAATAAGCACTTCAGATGTGACTACTTCCGTGAAATCTTTCATCACGATATTTGAGTAATTTTTAATCAGGGTTCTTAATCACACATTGAGAATATCTAACTTGCAGTCACTAAGCATCACAGTATAATCAGTTATCAAAATAGGGCATCTGTAATATACGTTTCAGTAGATTGGTTACGAATGTCAACAGCTCGAAGTGGTGAGAATTCTATTTTTGCAACATCCTATACTTACTATCATGTAGCAGTCTTCATAACTTTGAGAATAACTGAGTGGAATGAAAAAATATACATTTCTAAATTGTTGGTGCGATTGTATACGATGAGAAAACACATTTCATACACTGACAACCTTACAAAGGGGACGCTACATAACTAACTTGGTATTCATCCCTGTGGTTGATTAATTGGGGGAGGGGACATGTTCTGTATTGCTTTTAACAGGCTAATTGGATAAAGACGATCGCTCGACCTTTGCCAAAGTAGCTTAGGTATGTCGAAGTGCGAGTATCCACTGTGCGAACAGGTCACTCCAACGCTGTCTTCTGAACACTTGCTTTATGTAGTTGAAATACCAAGTAAGTTATGTTAAGGTTAAATGTTGTTTCAAAACAGGAAATCAGGTGATAAAGCTGAAATTTGGTCGACTGAGGTAGTCAGAACACGCTTTACACGTGCGCAGCTGCTGCCCAACGTTTACGAAACGAGGTCTAAAAGCTTTTCTTAACTAAGCTTCATTCCTCACCATCAGCATTTACTTTGTAGATTAATCAATCACATGTTTTATTTTTTAGACGGAAGAAACACACCCACTGTACTGGCGCCCGGGCTTGCTCAAAAAATCGAAATACTAATTTACCTAATCCACTTAACATCTCAACAACAATATGTATAGTATATTCCTATTAAAGAATTTATCTTACTAAATACAATCGATTTACATGTTTGATTATCTTAGTGGTCCGGTTTAGTGGATTTATTTAAGACCATAAACCGTTATAGACACCAACTAGTAGCTTTCAAATTCAAAGTCACGTATAAGCACCAAAAAAACCATTACTCTAAACGAGCTTCACCATAACCAATTCCACATTTACATGTATTGAATTATTCGACCCTATTTCTCAGCGACTGACATCTGTGCCTAATTTATTTTGGAAAAATGATAGAATTAGTAGAAGAAAGATATTTTTGGAATAAAATCTGTCAGTGTTTCTCCCATAGAGAAATATACGTCCTATGTAAGTAATGAAATAATAAACAGGGATTACTGCGTCAGTTTTATCTTCTTACAAGGTAATTGATCTTCTACACAACTAGCTTCGTCTGTAGTTTGTTTATTTACAGTAGGTTTAACAACGATAGAAGATACATTTGGCATAGACAAAAGTTTAAGCAGTGCAGCTGCACCATGTACTGTTTTGCTTCGTATAAGACCATGAGTCACTACTGCGAAAGGCGCCTTGGTAAGACAAGAGTGAGTTGCCTCCTGAGGTTGCAGACCTAGACAACCAAGCATTGCAGATACAGCCACTGGTCGACGGACTTCCCACCCGCTTGACGCCCCGGAACTGACGACTATCATATTTGTAAATGACTTCCGTGCTATGCAGAGTAAGCTGCTGAAATACTGTGATAAGACTGTACGTGCGCTATAGGTTCCAGAGGAAGAGCGAAGTACTGGAGCAAGTTGGAATTCTAAGTGGATACCTCGTGACATCATCAAATTGCATTGTTTACTTAACAGTCTAATTTCACTTGATTTTGTAAGGTCTAAAGATATAAGGTCAATGTTCACAGCCTTTTCACATGCATATGCAAAAGCGCTATTGGAAGTAGGACAGAAACTCACAACATCGAAGGCACCAAGTTTATCCTCAAATTGACGGAAGAATAAACCGGCATTTTCAGCATTATTGCAATATATAGTCAAACGTGTGAATATTCGTGGTTTACATGATATAGCGGAAGGCGACACGGAAGCTCTGAACATACTACTTTCATTAATATAAGCTTGAAGAACATCTGGAGAAGGGGGTTCTAACTTAGCAGTGAGATTCTGACGCATAGCTTGTCTTTCTTCTTTGTTTTTCTTCCTAGTAGTGGAATCTGATTTAACTTCGAAATTGAAGTCATCTACTGATACAGACTGACTGACCGCCACATAGTAATATCCACAATCAACCAAGCGTGCAAGGAGGTGCGCGTTCATTGCTTCAAAAGGAATATCAAGATCGAAGTAATTCCCTTCCATTTCATAGCATATCAGAGTAAATTTATTGAGATTTAAGCCCAATTATTTGAAAGTTCTGCTTCTCAACACAAAACCTAGAGTAGAAATAAGAAACATGTTAGCCTGAAGTGTAATTTATCAGAAATAAAAGACGAATCATGTGTAGTATATGTATGAAGGTGGAGATATTGACAGAAAACAGCGAAATAAAAGGAACATAGTAAGTGTTACATCTTAGTGAAGATTAAATTACGGGTAACTTCTGAGAACTAGTAGTAGATCAACATTATATATATTCTTATTGTATAACTACTCAGTAAATAGATTATGTATATCTATACTCCCCTTAATACAAGCTTTATTTTGACCTATATATTATTGTTATACGATTTACTGTTCTTAAATTATACTCAGTTTATTAGTTACAGTCTCCCACGTTCACAGCCACTTTTTAGCTCGGTCTTGTGTAAATATTATCTCCTATTCTATGGTGTGATACGGTCTGTTTGGCTAGTATATAAACTAAGTATGTTTGAAATAAATGATTCGCATATTGGCGTTCCGGACTCAACTGGTAGGGCTAGGAAGAAAATGGACCAATAAGGACGCTAGGCTGCTTATACCGGTCGAACACCATTGATTGTATAAGTCACATCTCGATTAGCGAAAAAATCACGTGATATTGAACCGGGCTTAACAATACAACAGTAAGCAAAACCATAATCGCGATTTTGTAAAATAATATTCATATTCTGTGCGTAATTTTGAATCTAGAAACAAAGCTGTAGTGAATTCTAACTTTCACAGCCAGTAATCTCAATTCAGCTCTTTGACTAAATATCTGCAACATTTATAGCGTCGACATCTTGGATACTGTAAAAGGATTGTAAGAAATCAGAAACAAAGTCTGTGTAAAAGGTTTTCTTGCTTTCATCAGTCGGTAAATTATTCTCTCTGAAACTTTCACTGGCTTACAATGCAATTAACAGCTATGTATGAGCTAGAAACCGTCCTATTACACAACCGACTGACTTCTATAACGTTAAGCAGTTTTAGTATCACGTTAAACATCTAACCTCAATCAAAATTAGTAAAGTGGGGGCTTGGCGGGGACTTGTGGAGGACAGGTCTAGTAGGTAGAAGTAAGGGGGTATAAAGAAGCACTACATTAGGAAAATAAATTTCACCAGATAAGGATGTGAATCCTCATGGACTTTGTAAAATATAGTAAACTTTAGTGATGAGCTTTATCTCGGAAGTTGATAGACCAGAAAGCTTCATCACTTGGTGAGATATATGAGTATTGAAAAAATGGTTGTTGTGCAGAAACTTTCCTTTAATTAATTCACAACTATTAAACATGACCGCAGAAACAGGGCCAGTCTTGAAGGCATTTCGTAGTGAAATAACGCAAAGTATTATTTAGCAACGATAAAAGAAAGGTTAATTATGTTAGGAATAGTCATAGTGCGACATTTTGGAATAAGATTTATGCCCGTAGCTCACTAAGAAGTATATACTAGTTCAGATAACGTTGCGAGTCCCCAGTCGTCAAGTAATTGGAGCTGTCTAGTTGACCAGAGAAAGTCTAAGTGATCACAACAGACAAGAATCGATGTTATCCTTAGTTATTGAGTTCAGCCACGTCTGTTACTCACTAAATAACTGGTTAAACAGTTGAAGATTTGGTGATAAACCCGAGCTCCCGATTTTGGGGAAAATTTGACCCATTTTAGGGAAGCCGCTATAGTAAACTTTGGGGAAATGGCACTAAGACCCCGAAATCTCCAGAGACTTGGTGAAATTCTCCAATATTTCTTTAAAATTCCCCTTTAACCTTGGTCAAGGTCATTTGACTTCGGGAGTTTCCTCAAACTTGGGAGCTCGAGGAAACCCTACGTCAATAGCCGAAGAAATATGGAACTATTCCGGAAAATGAGTGACTTGACCTATAATTTACCCCGAGACAAATGAGAGACGAGCAAAGACATTGTGCAAACACTACAAGACGAGTAGGAATTGGCGTTATGAGTTAGTCAACAAGTTTGTGCAATAAGCGTTAGCCAAGTCAACTGCGAAAAATATAAATAAAGGACGCAAAACTGCATAAGAAAGAATAAAAATCTGTATAACTTGCTACAGTTCCAGTGTAACAGAGATTGCGGGTTCAAGCACTACACAAAACAACTAGAAACCATGTCGATTAGTAGCGCACCTATCGTAAGCTGCGCCACGATTTCCCTAACCTAAGCTCTTGAAACTAATTCTTATTTACGGCGGTATTAGTGTATATTCACTGCAGACATCAACTAAAAAAATAATTCATCATACTGACATAATGCGTCTCTGCTTATTAGATCAGTGCGAAAAAGAATTATTTGCCTTAAAAACTCACACTCACTTATAGTGATAATGAATTTCTAAGGAAGCAATCAACCAGAAATTCCAAACTAGCAGACTTGCTGTTATTGAGCACTTCGTTATAAGTTGCTACGTTCAGCAATATTTAATTATCTTTTCTTACTGTGAAAAGAATTGCTTTAAGCAGGCCATAATATTAGAAGACTACACAAATTTTGCATATATTTGTATTTTATAAAACGAAAGAATATACCGTCACATTTACAGAACTACATTTTTCGTTTGGTGCATAATGAAGGTTAAAGTTACGACTAGAATGCAAAACAATAAGAGCAATGTGAAGAAGGAAAGAGAAAGAGAACGAAACTTTCCTAACGCGGGAATCTTTTGTGTGTTTTGTGGGACTTTCATTTTGGAAGGACAACGCTTATTTTACCAGCTGTTGTGAAGTAGAACTGTTTTCTTACGCTCAATACTGTTGTTTGTTACAAAGTAAACTGGACGCAATTGTTGAGTGGTGCAAATAAGAACATCACGGAAAAACTTTTATCTTTATCTGTTCTATACTATCAATCCCTCGGTTACCTCGGTCCCGTGTTTTCAGAGATACAACGCTTGGATTCGCGGTTTGAAACATGAAAATGACCTTCTTTGGTCACATCAACCGGCTAATTCATTCAAAAATCCACAAGGACTCGAGTACCATGTAAAATTAATGTATCGCCCAGGGTCATCTGTGCGTTCAAGTAACCACAGATTTTGTCATTTCATAATTTATTTTTAATTAAATAACTAGATTGTGTGGTTAATTTTGCTCTGCTTTTAATTTTTATTCGTCACGCCTGACTGCGTTACACTGTACATCCATTGCACGCTGGGATGATATCTCAAGTCATAGTGAGTTTATTCACATAGTTGATTGTTTCCAGATAGACTGTCAGTGCATGATTTTACTGAAGAAAGGTTTGTTGTACTGAAAACTGTTTCTATGAACAACTGCCTGTTGTCTTCAGTATGAAAGCAGTATATATGCATCCTTCGTTTTCTCTTAGGTAAGTTCGACTGGCCTATATTTCGTGTTTTGGTTCTATCGGCTGAATTATGTTCATTTGACTCCGTTTAACAACATGTATGTGAAAATGGAACAATAATTATGACGCTTGCTTAGTTAAGTATTCCTGATTGCCGTATAATTTAGTTTAGTCAATAGAATTATAGTATACTTAAGTAAAGTGTTGAAGCCTGTAACGAAACAGATCAGTTTAGTAGGTAGAGTCGCTTGTTTCCAATGTGTATACGGATTCAGGTCAGTCTGATTAAAAATAGGAAAAAACGTGCCTTTAATGCTGTTGCTG